CAGGTTGTATCTCTGGTCTCTTCATATTCTGAATTACAGATCCAGTTTGAAAGACATCTTTTGAGCTGTAGTCCAAACTACCTTTTTAAGCAGGGCCAGCTGCAGCAGGTTGTCCAGGCCCATACCTATACCTAGGTTTGGAATAAATCCCTATATGGGCACCTCACAACCTCCCTGGGCAACCTCTTCCAGTGTTTGATCACCCTCACTGTGAAAAAAAAAAAAAAGGAAGTGCATTCTTATGTTTAGATGGAATTTCATATGTTCCAGTTTGCTTCTTGTTGGTGGACACCACTGGAAAGAGCCAGGCTCTGTCTTCTTTGTTGCCTCCCATCAGGTATTTATACCCACTGATGAATCCCTCCCTGAGCTTTTCTTCTCACAGCTCTCTCAGCCTCTCCTCAYAGGATATATTCTCCAATCCCTTAATCATCTTTGTATTCCTCTGTTGCACTCTCCAGTATGTCCATGTCTGTCTCATACTGGGTAGCTCAGAAGTGAAGAAATAATCCAGGTGTGGCTTCAGTAGAGGAGAAAGATCACATCCCTCCACCTGCTTGCAGCACTCCTATGTACAGCCTATCAGGCTGTTGGTCTTTGCCAATATGAGGTTTTGCTGGCTCATTTTCTGCCAACTCCTTTCCATCTGGCTATTCCCATCCTGTCTTAGTGCATGGGGCTTAGTCCTTCCCAGATGCAGGACTTGCTGAACTTCGTAAGGTTCCTGCCTGCCTGTTTCTTCACGCAGCCATCATGTACACAGCCACTCTTCCCAGCCTTCCTGTCATCTGAGGCCACGTTCTGTCCAAGCAGCCAGATGTTAATGGAGATTTATAAGAGTTCTGGACTAAGTATGGACTTTCAGGGATCRCCACTATCTACCATCTGCCAACTAGATATCTCACGAATTGTCAAAATCCTCAGCTTGGTTGTTCAGTTGATTTTCAGTCGACCTCCCTGTCTGCTCATCCAGCCTATACTTTATCATCTTCCCTGAGACCTTTACAGAGACTATCAACTGCCTTACTAATGTAAAGGGAAACAAATCCACTGCTTTCTCCTCATCTGCCAAGCCAGCAATTTTGTCCTAAAAGGGTATCATGTTGATTATGCAATTTCCCCTTTGTAAATCCATGCTAACTATTCTGAATCACCTTCTTGTCCTTCAGAGGTGTGGAAATCATTTCCAGGAATTTTCTCCTGTCCACTTGCCAGAGCTTGATGTGAGGCTGACTGGTGTAGTTCACTACATGTTACTTCTTGCGCTTCTCGAAAATAGGAGTGACGTGTCCTAAATATAATTGAGAGTGACCTCACAATGACATCAGCTCTCAGTGTTTGTGGATGCAATCCATGAGGCCCTATGGATTTATAACTTGGTTTTCCTCACTCCAGACTTTCCTTTTTAAATGTTTTGCTAGGATTTTGCAGGGAAAAATTTCTCTTTCTGTGAACTATATTCAGASCATTCACTTCCTTCTTTGTATGGATCTAGGTTCTACCACGGCTGTATGTCATCTTTTTGGTTCTTGAACAATTAAATGCACTGAACAATTTTGACTGTCCTATTTTTTTTTACTAAACACCACAGTTTTGCTGGCACTGTGATGTCCATTAGCTGAGCCTTAACTAGTTAGATGTGCAAAAGTAAGTAATCTTTGCTAGATGATTTGCTGGGGTGACAAAGTTGCAGGGACTGGGATAACAGATGTGTGGTTCTTTCCCTAGACTAGCAGTGGAGTGGTTCCTGTATTGCAGTCTGAGTATGATGTTATTTTACGTAGCAGGGAAATATTTCAGATAGCTGCTTTTGAACAGAATATGCTGGAGTATTCATGGAAAGCGCAATAAATTACATTCCTATTTTTGTGTTCTTGACCAGGGTTTGAATTCAGTTRTGTTCCTCGTACAGTGCATTGGCAGGTAATGAAATGCTGTGCAATGCAGAAGTATGTTATRTCTGCAAAAGTTGTAGAAACATGTCCATTCTCAGTGTTGAGTGCAAAATTCCTGGAAGACGTGTGTGTTTTAAATGCAAGTCCTCTGGGGCAGCTTTTGGAGTGAGGATGCTGCTGGTTTTGAATGAGGCTAGGAACAACAAAGAAAGCATTTCTTAGTTAAGGGAAATGTGATAACCGCAGTTGCATTTCTCTCTTGAAAAAATGCATGAAGTTGATAGCTGGGGGCTCTTTGAGGCAGCCAGTGCTAGTTAAACAATCCCCCTGTGTTTTCTGTGTAACAGCAAAGTGGATCAGCTTTTTCTGGTAGGTTTTGCAAACTCTTAAACAAACAAATTTCCAAACCTTAAGTTTTTGAAACTAAGTCTACAAAGTTGTTGTCTTACTCCATTCAGCACTTTATCTTGYTTGCTTCTTTGTGCATGATGAACTTGGCAAAAATCAGGGAATGAGCATGGTCATCCTGAGAAAATTGCTGATGTCTCTAGAAGAGGATGTCTATGAGCATGTAATTAACTGGTCCAGAGGGAAAGTACATGGAGAAAGTGCAGAGCATAGCAATAAAAATACACCAATACCCTCTGTGTAGTATAACCACAAATAAACAGTAACTCAGACTATAAAAGGCATTTTGCAGTTCTCAGGCAGTGTCCTGAGATAACCYAAGTCTGCTCCTGGTTGTGTAAGACCTTTGCCCTGTCTGTCTCAGAGAAATGAAATTTCTGTGATAGATTTATCAGTCACAGATGAAATAATAGATGAGTTTTGTTGTTTTGTGAAAATGATGTTTCWCTGTGAAGAGCTTCTTACTTCCTCMRTCTCAAGCTTAGGGGACATTTGAACAGTTAAAGAGAAWAGCTTAGTATTCTTATCTTGGTAAAGCTATTGTTTCAATTGCAGTTTGTGAAAAGACCCATAAAGAGGCTGGCAGTTTGTGTAGGTTATCATATGGGCTAGGCTTGGTGACTCCAAAATGGTCGCATGTTTTTGTGGGTATTGGGGTGGTTTTGTTTATTTGTTTGTTTCTGAATTCTGATGATTTATGTATCCTAGAAATTTGGTTAGTACTTTGGCTTTTTCTGTGTCTTATTTCTGCATTGCATAGCCAGTGTTTCAGATGGCACCTTATTGGTGCATGCTTGGTGGGTTATCCCCCGTTTCTGGGAGCTGACCAGAAGCTCTCATAAATGTTGTGGGCTGCCTCTTCTCTTTGTATTGACAAATCTATGCCTCCAAGTACCCCTACACCAGTAAACACAACGTGGGGAATAAATCAAATTAGAGGTCCATGTGGAGTTGCAGGGCTGTGATCTTGTTGGGATCWTTGAGATGTGGAGGGATAGCTCACATGACTGAAATGCTGCAATRGATGGATAGGTGTTCTTTAGGAAGGACAGACTGGAAAGAAGAGATGGAGTTGCCCTTTCTGTGAGAGGACAGCTGTAGTGCTTGCAGTTCTGCCTGGGGTGGATGGATGATGAACCCAACAGAGCCCATGGATAACGATTGAAGAGCAGAGCGGAATGGGTGACTGTAGCAGCTCAGTGCTATAAGCCMCCTGATGAGGAAAAACAAGTAGATGAGGCCTTGACAGTGAGAAATAGCTTCTCATTCATAGGTCTTGTTGCTCATGGTGCACTTTAACCATTCCAATATCTCCTGGAGGGCCACAGCAATCCAGGGGGTGCCTGACACAGGTAAAAAGCCAGCAAGGAGAGGTGCTGTGATGGACTTCATACAGGCAAAGAGGGGCTGCTTGTGGTATGAAGGTCAAAGGTAGCCTTGGCTGCAGTGTCCCTGAGGTAACAGAGCTCGATCCTAGAAACAGGTCAAAAAGCACGATCACAGCACTGGACTTCAGGAGAGAAGACTTCGACCTCTTCAGGGATCTGCCTTGATGTAAGTCTTGTGGAATAAAGCCCTGAATGAGGGAAGAAGATCCAAAGAAAGCTTGTTAATAGTCTGACATAGTTTAACCCCAGATGGTAATTTAGGTACCATGCAGACACACACTCACTTCCCCCTCCCACGTCTCAGTGATATATGGAGAAGATGCAGAAAAAGAGGTACAAAAACTCATGGGTTCAGATGAGAACAGTTTAGTAGATGAAAAGAAGTAAAGTATTATAATTGTAGTGATGATAATAATAACAAATAAATAAAACCCAAGGAAAACAAGTGATGCACAATGCAATTACTCACACCTTGTCAATGCCCAGTCTTTATCTGGGAAGTGATCAGTCCCTTGCAGTCAACTCCCCCAGTTTATGTACTGAACAGGATATGGTATATCCCTTTGGGCAGTGTGGGTCAGTTGTCCTGGCTGCGCTCCCTTCCARCTTCTTGTGTAGCTCCTCACTGGCAGAGCATGAGACACTGGAAAGTTCTTGACTTAGGGTAAGCACTACTTAGCAACAACAAAAACATCAGCATGTTATCAACATTATTCTCATACTAAATCCAAAACAGAGTACTGTACCAATTACTAAGTAAAAAATTATCTCTGTCCTAGCCGAAACCAGGACACTGGATGCATTGGATCCAAAATTGGTCTTACGATTTTTTAGTACAATACAAAGTACTTTCCTGATTATGAAGATGGAGATTATGAAGAACCTGTTTTCCTGAGTGGTTTAAGAAAAGCTTCTGTCTGGATGTTTTGTGTAAAGACATTTGATTCGGCACTTCTGAAAAGTCCTGCTCCTAACAGAGGAGATACAAAGCTCCTCCTGCATGGGAGCAGCCCTGGGTTTTGATTCATTGAAGAATGTGTTTATTTAAAGAGATGCAGCATTCCAAGGATGTTTCTAAAGACCACAACAAAGATTGTGTCCAGTGGTCTAAGTATCTTTTTCATTTGCTTTCAATAACTCTGTCTTCAAGTTGAGTTTACTTTCCTGCTAGTTTTGATCAAAGCGTTTTYATGATAAACCAATTTCTTTTCATTTCATTTCTGTCTGCCAACYCAAATAACAAAAAGTATTGCTGATAGGTGAATGATTTTTTTAACTTTTTTTTTTCTTTTTTTTGCCTCTCCAACAGGCCATCTGTGRAAAAGAAGAAAGAGGAAAAAATGAAACACTTATTCTTGATATTTCTCATGAATTTATTACACCAGTATGCTGGCAAATCTTTGAGAAGAGATGGCAGTTACCTGAAATCATTTGAAGACATTAAGAATGAGATAGCTGGCTATACTAATGTTGCCAAGGCTATTATTGATCTTGCTGTTCATGGAAAGGCTCAGAACAGATCCTACGAAAGATTAGCAGTTTTTGTTGACACCATAGGACCTAGACTCAGTGGTTCAAAAAACTTAGAGGCAGCCATCGAATATATGTACAGTGCCCTGCAGAAAGATGGGCTGGAAAATGTGCATCTGGAGCCTGTGAAAGTACCACACTGGGAAAGAGGAGAAGAGTTTGCAGTGATGCTGGAACCAAGGAATCATAGCATTGCTATTTTGGGACTTGGGAACAGTATTGCAACTCCTCCAGAAGGTAACTTCCTTTTGCTATTTTGGGACTTGGGAACAGTATTGCAACTCCTCCAGAAGGTAACTTCCTTTTGGAATTACATATAACTTTTTAATGTCAAACTGTTTGTACCCTTAATAACTTCTCTCAGTGGTCAAACTGCAGTTTTCTTCTTGCTGTAACAGTTCTGCAAAGCAMGGTGCTCTTTTCCTGGAACTCTTCTATATGGCATAGTTGTGAATGATACAGTTTATATTAAAACAGTTTGATTGAACAGATTGRGTTGATTCAATTAGGGTTGAGTCCCGAGCTCTCCATTAAATCTCTACCTTTTTGTGTAATACTACTGAACCTCAGTTGCAAAGATTCAGGTCCTCCTCTGTAGCTGGTAGGAGAGAAATTCTTCATGCGGTGTTGAATTGACACATGATTTCTGCTTTTCTTCATGTGCCCAAACTTGCCAAGCTCAGCTCCTCACTCCAGTTAAAAACAAGACARTAGGAAAGGGAGTTGAGCTTGGAGAGTTCAAGCCCCTTTCTAAACATCAAGTATGGTATCTGTGTCCTTTCCTTCCATTCCTTGTCTCATGCTTGCCTTGGAAAAGTCTGTCACCTGTTACTGARCTGTGTGTTGCCTTTTAGTTGATCATGTGTGATATGTTACTCAGGTATGAGAATAACCATTAGCTGCACTCAACAAAATTCTGGTCTTTTAACTCCCAAAATATTAGCTCACCTGCAAACAAAATGATTTATAAAATTCTCTTTTTGTACTTATTGWTGTGAGGCTTTCAGGAATGTGATTTAAAGGCCAGATGAGAACCTTCTTCTGTGACTTCGGTCCATAAAAAATATTATACTTATGCCTAGACCACTTCAAAGGTATTTTTATTCCTTTATGAGAAAATAAATTTAGTTTAGGAAATAAAAGGTAACATGATACTCATAATTTTTTTTATGAATTGTAAATTTTTGTGATAGTGARCTTTCTGTTTGAAATGAAACAACATATAAAAGCTGTTTTGTTTAGAAAAAATATATAGCCCTTCAAAATGCAACAAATAAAACTGTAATTTAAGATATGCTTGGAGTAAATCATACTTGGTTTGCAAAATTGCTGCTATGAATTTTATCTRAGATAGTTCTGTCATATAGAGGTAAACACGTGTAAAATGCAAAGCAACTAAAACCAATAATATCTGTTTGTCCTATGATATATGCAAGGTTTAGTGCTTTCCTTTGATAGAATATGTGCAGCAAAGTTTAAGCCTAAAACTTATTTTGCATCCTTTCCAGTCCTATTCCAAGCTTCCTGRAAAGGAAGCTAAAATTAAAAGGTCTTTTTTGGTGTTAAGCAAGTGTTGCTGAACCTRCAAAGAGAACCTGCAATTTAATTTTGGCAAACATCTTCATATCCCAAGGAGTCTGTTTTTCACTTCTCTTTCTTAGTTGTGTAGTTATTTGCACTCCCCTGGTTTTACTCCTAGGTTTGCTTTTTTTCTTTCTTTAGAGAGATACTGAATTTACGTATTAAAAATACTCACAGTCTAATTGTGTCCTCCTTTTTCATCTATTAAGATCCTACATCTTGAAAGATATGATTGTATTATCCAGTGCTGGTTTATACTGAGTAATGTTCAAAAACCCCGCATTATACTTTTTTTACTTTCCTCTGAGATATGCCATGTTTCTGAAGAGGTATGTGTSTTGGTGCTAGGAGACTTCCTGTCAGTGAGATCTCTCACAAAACACTGGGCTGTTTCTCACACTTTGTGGAATAATTTTGATTAAATAACTTCTGACTCTCCTACTTTTTGCGCCTGTTCTGATTTCTGCTGGTCAAGCTGTGCAAGCTGTGACAGGTTTTCATGCTTGAGAAGGAGGGTTATGTGGGGTAGCTGGTCCCTGGTGAGCACTTGGCTCTTGTTCTTCCCTTTACTGGACCCTCCTCCAGGCTGATGGAAATGTCTGGTAAGAGCTGCTCGTCACCAGCCTCTCCAGGCAAGAGAATTGGAAGGCATGCTGTTCAGAAAAGTGCCTGTCCTAAAACTCTCACTCATACCAAGCATGGAATAAAAAATGTAGTAGTTAGACTATTAAAAGTGCCTCATCACTTCTGAGGATTGTCACAGTGCCTTATTCSTAAGAAAATGATACAGAAGGCTGCCCTAAATTGCATTAGAAATAGCCAAACAATTTCCCTCAGTGACTGATTATCAGCAGTTCTGATACATCTTGTTTTAGCCAAGATGCAGTGGGAGCATGTGTCTTTGTGTAATCAGAGTAGTGCAACTGAGTATGAGATGCCTGATGCCAATTTTCTTGTCTTTACACTGCTGTTGTTGCATGGGGTCAGTCAAGGGAGATCTACTGCTGCTTGCTGAGCTTTGGAAGAGGGGGGTTTTAAAGGCTGAAGGCTGCCTTTCAGATGTCAGCTCTATGATGATTCTTTGGTTCTTTCACAGAAGCCTCTAAAGTGCAGATGATCCCTGAAATTGTTTGGTATTAGCTTGATAGTTATTGTGTGTTTTACATCAGTATTGCTTAGAGACAGAGGACAGCACTGGCTGGACCTTTTATCTTTTAAGGTCTAGGGATGGGGTTAAGATGAGAGGGGCTGGCTCCCCTATCCCAGCAGGAGGTAGAGGAGACCACTTTTTGCTTTTTCATCTTCCCATTTACGTTCTGTATTCCTCYCCTCCCATGATTTGGCCCCAGGCTTGTGACCTAAGAAACTAAGAAAATGGGAAGCATTGGCAGAAACTTAAATACCTATTGCAGGACTTGGTAGACTTTGGTGGCCTCAGAGCTCCTCCTGGAGCTCAGCACCCTGAGCTAGTGCTATGGAGAGCTCTTCATTAACATGGTAATAGCCTGATTGCTATTAGGAACCTGGCTTTCRATGCTGGAAATTCAGGGTTTATTTTCCCTTCTGTCCATGGAAATTCAGACCAGTGTTTCCTAAGTATGACGCAGTGGCTAGAGCACACGCTGAGGTTGGTTGCTTTCCATTTCAGCATACACCATGTGAGCATGGAAAAAAATCTGCAATCCTTCAGGGCAGGAACAGGAAGCCCTAAATAGTAGCAGTATTTTAGCTATGAAGTCCAAGCCAGCATTGACTCCAGGATACCASGAGTGTCTCTTCCTGCAGGTCTTCTATCTAACTCATGCCTATGGCATTGAAACCCTATTGGGATGTGAACAGAGCTTTCTTCGTTTAGTTGATTTGATGAGATTTGCCTACTTTGGCTCAGATACAGAACAGTTGGATGATTTGCAGGAGGGTTTTCAGTACCTTGTGATCTTGTGGATAAAATCCTACTTTCTTCTTCATGACTGGGAACTATGCCAGCATGACAAGTTTCCAGATTCTGTCTGATTTACACAGCAAAAAGTGAGAGTACAGAAAAGGTTAGATTTTCCTATTGAAGAGGAAAAATGCCAGCATTCTCCCTCTCCAAGTATGAAGGTGTTGGGTCAAAGAGAAAGTTTTCCCTTCCTTTGATCTCCTTACCAGGAGAGAGTAAGTATACTGCCCAACCCACAACATGCCCACTTTAGTGACAGGGAGAGAGGAAACATGAAACACAGAGTGACCTGGATTTCCAGAAATCAGCAGAGACTGAAAATGGTCATCACCTCAAAGGAATGGATTCTTAGGTAACAAACAGGATTGAATGTTAAAAAGTGCAAAGTTTTGGGAGCTGGCAAACTGGAGATTTACCATATTTAGTCAATGTCCTTGTCTCATTTTCAGTGTTTCAACATTGGCAAAACATAGATRTATGTATAGAGAGACTGTGTTCATTTCTGGTAGTACTGATTATATGCCACACATTCTGAGGAAAATATATATAATTGCTACTTTGAGAATCCCATAATTGAAGGAAAGTAGTAGTTTAGCAGATGTTTGACCATAAAGTATCAAAGAATTCTTTTTTTTGCATGTGTTTTAAAATGCATTTTTTTTTCCCCAGATGCGTGACCCTGCCCTTTAATTTTAAAGAAATACTGACAAGCAGAACCAACTTCAGGGCAGCCTGCCTTCTCCTTGAAAAAAGGAACAGTCTCTGGTTTTTATGTGCTGTTGGTTGCAGCAAAATTGCAATAATATAAATGTGAAGATGATGTATTGGCAGACTTTTTCCAAGTTTTTGTGTTCAAGTCATGGTGTTTTTTTGTTTAACTGTCAGCATTAAGTCCATGTACTCTTATAGAASGTGATAGGAGTTTTGCAGTTAGTTAATATTAAAATTGTTCCAGCCTGTTATTTATAAAATGGGGATAATACATGTCTTGAACTTGTTGGTGTGTGCTGTTGTTGTAGGTCCACCGTTTTATTAAATCAGGGATRTGACCTGGAAAGAAGTGGTCTGGCTCCAGTCCTGGCTGATGCATTTTGCCCCCARTGTTGAACCTCCTCTTTTTTCTCAGTGGTGAAGTGGATTTGGGAATTCAGATAGATRAAAAAAAGGCCAACAGTTATTTTTAATGTTTATCACAGGATTTGTCCTTGAGTTGCCAGCATCTTGGATGACCACTGATCTCCTGGAAGAAAAGGTGATCCTTCTGGAGGGCCTTGAGTGGGGTTCAGTGGTTCCATGCTGAGAACAGGGCTTGGAGAGAGTGTAGGCATGAGAGCACAGTGCATGGCAAAGCCCTCCTGTCTTCATTGGATCACTCTTTTTTCGTGTGTGACGAGCAATCAATTCACATCTTGAGACCATGAGCGTCACTATTGTGTGCCTGGATTGTTTATTATTATTTAATAAACTATTAATAATTATTAAACTATTATTAAATAATTTAAACTGCTTCTGGTATGGTAATTATGCTACTGTTTTTCTTAGGATGTAAAAGATGACATCCATGAAGGAGCTCAGACACTGTGGTGTTCAGCAGCCTGACATCTGGGCTAAAAGTTAGTGCTGTAGCATTTCAAAGATTTGGAGAGTAGGAATAGCTGCATGGCTTTGAGGTGGACATGCTGTGTGTGAAGAACATGGGTTCCAGTCACTACTT